TGCCCCTCTGCCTGAGCTCCAGAATGATATATTACTAACATTCACACATGATCGTCACATTCCTTATCCCACTCAAGGTAGTCCTCGTCATTACAAGCACCTAATTCAGAAAGACCTTCAAATTAATCAGTAACATCCTGTGTAGTAAACACTATTTTTCAAAAAGGCCGGATTGGGGTTAGGGTCTCGCTAACTGCTGTACCAGTGGCTAGGCATACAGGCAATTTTAGGCGCCACCAGCGTACTGGTGGGTAGGGCTCAAAGGGTTAACGAAATGAAAACGCTATGAGGCTCTTGTCGAAGGATAGGAGGAGCTAGGTGGGATGGAGTTCACGGCATTTCCCAGTCAAAGTTGGCTGCAGAGGTTTTATTGTGATAAGCATCAGAAGGTGCTGTGCAGGAGGACAAAAGATAGGCACATAGAAGAAGAGATGGGAGGATAACATCCAAGAACGGACAGCTATGGAGCTGGAGGACACACCGAGGAAAGCAGAGAGCTAAAAGAAGAGGAGATTTGTTGTCATCTGTTGAGAAAACCCAATAGATGACAAATTTATGGGAGTAGAAGAAGCATCAGAAAATAAATGAGAGTGCTGGACTTGGTGCGAGGGTAGAGAATACCATGACAAAAGCTCTACAGGAGACTGTCGAGAAAGCAAGTCACCAGATCTGGTTAAAGAGAAAGGACAACAATTGGACTGAGTCCTGATGGCTGAGAACAAAGACAGTCAAATCTGACGAGGCCACCTCACATCGGTGAGAGGGGGCTCGGAGCATCATTACAGCTGGAAAGAGGAAGAGCCTGAAACAGCAGCGCGTTCTCTCCTGACGATCTCCATGCCAGAGCCGGGTCTGCGGAGTTATCATAGAGCATTGCATAAGTGGATAATGCACTATATAAATGCAATCCATTATTGTATTATTATTATCATCAGTCAGGAGCGCAAGCAGCAGTCCCAAACCATTTCCAAACTTGCTCTAAAGGCCACCTGTAGAGACAACCTCTTCCCAAATCCCCCTACCCCCCTTCTCCCTGTGGCATTCTTTTCTAGATTATTATGACACTGCCCACTTGTCTAAGACACAACAACAACAACAGGAAGCAACAACAACAACAATAACAACAGGAAAAAGCAGGAACTGTCCAAGACACAACAACAACAACAACAACAACAACAACAACAACAGAAACAACAGAAGCTACAACAACAACAATAACAACAGGAAACAGCAGGAACTGTCCAAGACACAACAACAACAACAACAACAACAGAAACAACAGAAGCAGGAACAACACCAACAACAACAACAGGAAACAGCAGCAGCTGTCCAAGACACAACAACAACAGAAAAAACAGAAACAGCAACAACAACAACAACAATAACAGGAAGCAGCAGCAGCAGCCGGGGAAGACTTACGTTGATGAGGTCGAGATCCCTCAGAATGGCTACACTCTCCTCCTGCATGCCACAGTTGTGAAAGATGGACAAACTCCACTTGATCAGCTTATTCTGGTCCTCCTGCAGTGGTAAGAAATCAGCACATTTTCTTAATAAATGAAATAAAAATGATTAATATTTTTTATAGCACTCACTTCCTGATAGCTCTAGGTGCTTCACAATGAAATAAGATTTAAATCAACGTTTTATGCACACTGGCCCATTCAACATACAATTCTTTCAAATGCATACTTGAAGAACACATACACAAAAAGACAATCACTATAACTACTAATCACACTACACTAGCCGTTTAAGGAAGGGTAAAACTAGTTAGCAAAATGAGACTTAAATAAATGTGGTTTTAGACTGAATTTAACTGCGGTCAAAGTAGGCGCCTCTCAAATGCAGTGGGAGGGAATTCCACACTGAGGCAGCAAATGTCCATAAAGCCGTGCCTTAATTTTTTCAAATTTTACAAGGCACAGTCTTGAGCTGCTTTTCATTAAAATGGATGATAAATTTTGAGCTGAAATATACTTATGTAATAAATTAGAAAAGGATTTTGGTGCTGGATGTTTCAACATTTTTAGCACATTACAGCAGCTTTGTAACAAATACTGTATTCACCAGTGTACCAATCTAGCTATATAAGCAATGGTGTTGTGTGTTCTCTTATTGGCCTTTTGAGAAAAAGTCTCACAGCTTGGTGCTGGAGTCTTTGCGGCTTTTTCCTTAGTTCTGTATATGTTTATAAGGCGTGAGTTGCAATAGTCAATACGATATAATGAAAATGATGACATCTGTGTATTAGAGATGTCTCACTTATAAAAGGCGCCATTTGTGCAATTCTTAGGATCTCTAAATATGCAGCCGTACATAGATTTTGGACTTGGCTGTGCAGAGACGATTTGTTGTCAAATGCTGCTCCTAATTTTTTGTCCTTTGGTTTAAGAATTGTTTTCTCATTTCCAATAGTAAGATAATCAGTCCCCTCAAACTGTGTAACCAGACATTTTTTTTTCTACACCACACTAAAGCAATTAATACTCCTCCAAAAGAGTGACAAAAGTCCTCCTAGTAAGTTTTATCACACTGAAAACACTGCACATATAGGTTGTTTTAATAAATTTAAATTTCACCTGTTCCTTTCTGCAACTTAGGAAAAGGCCCAGAAAAAAACAATGAAAGTTGCTTTCTAGAAAAGTCAAACAATTCGGAAAAAAATTAGAAAAGAAGTACCCAACCAAAACATATTTAATTAATTCAACAACCCAGTCAGAAAATGCAGGCAGTGTACTCTACCATCAGTTATGAAAAATGAGTATATCGAACAAAATGCACTTCCATCTTTTAAAAGAGATTAAACAGGCCCTATTATAAAACAAATTTTGCATCATGGAACCAAGCAAGCACCTAAATGCACTCTATCTTTCCCTTCAGTATGGTATGGTGCAATTCAGGGAGTTCAGGTGTACAGCCATAAGGCTCAAAGTCAACGAACAAGGACTCAAAACAGTTAATGTTCTTTCAGTGATAGTTGAAATATTGGAACAACAAATAAAACAACTTCACTTTCAGATTTTCCCCAATTTAGGATACTGAATGATGAAAGATGTGTCCTTACCTTTTAGTTTAACCCTATCCGTACGCCCTGAGGTCATTTTGTACCCCCGGAGTGGTATTCTTCACATTTTGGAATACTTCTAGAGCGAAGATCTCTTTCAAACTTTCAGTATTTCTCAAAAAATCATTTTCACAGACTTCTATGCAAAGCATGCAGATTGGATTAACAAGTAAATTTCCTCTATGAAAATTGGTGACACAGAGTTCCCCACGTCGTACGGATACGATAGTAAAACACGACATATGGATAGAGTTAAGTTTTAGTAAGAGATAAAAGGCACTTGCAGCACAAATAGGTCATATAAGTGCAGACGATTAAAGGTATAACCAGACACTAAGGTTCAAAGAAAAGGGGTAGAGAAAAGGACTAAAGATTTAGGATAGGAAAGGAGGAAACCACAAAAGAGCACCTGCCAACTACCCTTACCTTTAACTGTTTGTCCAAATGTAAAGGCCTCCATTCTTGAACAATCCGTGTCAGCTCTTTCAGCAGGGAAGGGTGACCACAAATGATAAGCCTAACTTCCTCAGAACAATCAGTGTTATTCACTAAGGCAAGCAGAATGTTTTTCACAGGAAACCATCGACCTTTTATCATGGTTCCTTCTTCTGATAAAAAGTCTCTCGTCTTTAAGGAATTGGATAAAACGTCACACAGAAGTTTAATACAGCCACTTTCACACATAACACGCGACACAGCGTTTCGAAAATTGAAAACAACATCTACAGGATATCTGTTCACTTTTAAGAGGAAGTAAGATTTTGTCACGCCTACTAAAGTTTGTCGGAACTGAAGGTTGAATGGAGTTCCTTCTTCTTCCATATTACGGGGGGGAATCTCAACAAGAGACTGAATACTCTCTTTTACTTTCTCAAAAGCTTTCTTTCTTTTTTCTTCTATTTCTTCGGCTGTTAAGGGTTTCTTTTTAACTGTCTCTTTCTCTGTACCATCATCACCTTTATCATCTCCTTCATTGTCATCTTCATTCGTGTCATCTGAAAATATGAACAAGAGTGGAGACAGTAAAAATCTATGCAATCTTGGTTGTTTCGATATTATAAAAGATCAATGTGTAAAACAAGAACAGAAACTCTATCGCTAGCCACGTGATTCAACTGCCTATGTGACCAAATTTTAGAAAATCACTTTTTGATCCCTTTATGTAGTAGGCCTACAGCCTTTGATACACCTTAAGTTAAAATCCCGAGTTTGAAAGATTACTGCAAAGTGTTTCAATCCTTCAATAAATCAATTGACTATATCACACCAGTCCCCAATTTCCACGGGATTCAACCGCGTAAGTGTCAGTTTTGCAGCCCGGTGGCAAATGGGCAGTTGAATCACGCTGAGTCAGTGATTTGTTGAGGTGTTCAAGTGTCGCATAGGCGGAGTGACCCGCATTGACTGACCTTTGTCAAAACGGACTGGAGGTCAAAACAAAGTGCTGCCTTAGCTAACTTCGACTCAAATTGATCTCTATAACGATAGCCAGGTGATTTTGTCAAGGCAGTTAGCATAAACTATCACTAGGTTTGGTAGTGTAGTTGAGAAAGGGGATTTTGGCATCAAAGAACATAATATGTTAATACTGACTCGACCAAGTTGGAAAATAGTGGCAAAGCTACTGACCAATTAAATTTTAAAAAAGTCAACGAATGAGAACTAAGGGGTGCTTATTTCACATTCGGTATAACTATTAGAAAATATTTTTCTTGTTTCTTGATTTACTATAAGTGTGTGCCCTTTGTTGTGTTTCTCATGTAGGTCCCTACCATGCTTGAATCATTGATTAGTTAATCAGTGCCGGGTAGATGATACTTAATTTGTCACTCGAAAAAAAAAAGCAACTCATAAGCATATTCGCCCCGAATATTTATTCTTCAAGAACCTTCAACTTCAACTCTCCAGCTCTACACTTCCATTTGAAACAAATCTCCATAGACATTCTACCTGTATGCAAAACAAAACGTTTAAATACAACAGCCATCGGAGATACTCTATACAGCGACAAAACACAGCTGATTAAAACCTGCAAATTCTTTGCCATATCAACAGACCGAAGGGCTAGAACCCAAATGGCCGCTGGATCAGAAAAGTAAAGTAAAGTAAAGTGAATACAACAGCCTTCAAATGTGGTTATTCGTGACTGTTGCAAAGACAGTTTCATGACTTGGAGATGGGAGCTCCATGATTGTCAAATTACCAGAGAGCAGAAGAGGACAAGCAATTTTGAGATAAGTAATTCTTTGACAAACTTGATGAAATTGCTTTCCCATTACTACAGATAGAATACAGCCCAAATCTATCTTGATAACGCTTTCAAAGCCTCAGAGGTCTTTATAGAGAGTACTAAAGAAAATGGAAAGAGTCACACATTGAACCAGACAACTTAAGAAAGATATTTTTAAAAAGCAACCAGTTCACAACCTCAGAGCTTTCTTGTAGCATCTCCATTTCTGAGAACAGTGAAATCAGTTAATAACAAAGAATGAGCTTAAGAAGAAGTTACATTTTCTTTGTTTAAAAAAAGTGGTGATACAACAAGAAAGCACTGAGGTCGCGTGTTGTTGTGTGTATGTCGGTAGGATCAATGTGATGTATGCCAGGTAAGAGAAACAATCTAACATGTAGCTTGCACAAAACCCAGTGGATGGGACTGTTTTTCACGGATCATGTTCCTCCCAACGCTAGAACGAAAGCCTAAATCTTTCCCTGGCAGCCATAAGAATAATTGATTTTATTAATGCTTTTATTCCTTGCCATATCGACAGACCAAAGGACTAGAACCCAAATGGCCACTGGATCGGAAAAGTAAAGTAAGTATTAATGCTTTTAATTTTCTTGTTTATTAACAACTGACTGATCGAGAAGAGGTCCTAGAAAAGATACATTTACTCCACACTGCCATGGGAGGAAGGGATATGAGGAAAATATTTGTTTTAATTTTGTTAAAGGAGGGGGGGGGGTATGTTTTATCCCATCCATGTGAGCCTTGAGTGGTGCACTTGATCAGTATGGTCGTAATGTGAAAACTCCTGACAGCTTGTCAAAGTGGCTCTACTAACTACAGCTTGGAAACTTTCCTGGAAAGTCAGTGACATGAAATTAGTTTGACCACTATCTACTTCCCTGAACATATGGCCAGCCAAGAAAAAAGTTCCTTGACTCATTGTTACATGCAAGGGACAGGTGGCATTGGTTGATAGTGCTTATTATGTTGATTTTGTGGGCTAATGATTTAACAAAGATGTTCAATTGTTGCTGTTCCTAATATAATTTATCAAACAGTGGTGCTATGAGATGCAAGAACTGGTAGCAATAGATGCAATAATCAGAGACGCTAGGATAGCACTGGGGAGGTGAGACGCTTTCACCATTGCTTGCTGAACAGACATGTCACCTTTAATCCCAGTGCATTAAGCTTGCCCTCTTTACCCCTTCCCCCTCCCTTCCCACTTTTTGTTCCAGTCCAAAACGGAAAATTTCTAGGACTTAATTATTTTCTGACTTCCTTACAATTTTATCTTGGACAGGTTTGACTGTACATAGTAAAAATACAATACACCATTTTGCTCGCTCCTACCATATTATTATGCACAGGCAGTGTCTCGACCAAACCACCACGTTGATAATACAAAGTGAACAGTGTGTGTCAGTTAAGTAAATTTTAGCAGTGTCGAAAGGGGTTTACATCTTTACTTAACCGCAAAAATCTCATTCAAAAACATCCTTCCAGGTGACGACTCATGTTAACTAATAAATAAAGCATTTACCTTTCTTTAAGTTAATTAGTACCAGTTTCAAAGTATGCATAAATATCTTTAAAGAATGAAACAGTCTTTTTTCTCTCCTAAACAATAATTTTGCTTTTTGGCTTTGGACATTTGAAAAGCTTGCTGACTATATTATGATAACATATAAATAATATTATCTGGGGCCACTCAAAATTTTGAAAAAATCATTCTCACCATCAGATTTTAGGACTGTCTCCTCCTCTTTCGATGATGAAGCCCCATTTGAAGCAGATGGCTGAGGTTGGTCCACAGTGACTTCAATACCTGTTCCTGACACAGTATCCTTTGAGCTTGATCCTTTCTCCTTGCCTTCATTTACACAATCATCTTTTTTCGCGGGCATGGTAGTATATTTTTCTGTCACCTTTCCAGCTTCTGTTTTGTCTGTTTTGACGCTCGCTAGTGTGGAGGGAGTATTTCGTTTCATTCTCTGTATGGCTTGTAAGCTGGCTAAACCACGGGAGCCTGGTCTGGAGGTTCCACTACCCATCTATCTGTGAAGAGATTCAGAAAAACATTCATTTTAAGATAAAGAAGTACCAGTAGCTACTTCCATGATCTGAAAGTATGGTGTTCGCCTCTCGCTCAAAAGGTCCCGAGTTTGAAACCTGACACAGCAACAACCACATTTTCTTCTTTAAAATGTTCTTCTTTAACTTCCTTTTCTGTAGTCATCTGACCTCATCTCCACTTTCTCTCCTTACCCCCAGCATCCTCTGGGTTCTTCTCTCTTTTACTCTTAACTCTTTCTACTGCAACTCTATGCTGCTGTCTTTCAGCAACACCCTTGATCTTACGGTAGGTAAGACTGAACACCTAATATAGCCTTCTCCGAAAACTTAAATTGATAAAAGTAGGCTTCGGCCACCACCCGAACAAGTTTCAAAATTATTCTACCAAAACTGAAAATTATACTCTAGTCAAGTGTATAAAAACGAAATCGGAATATGGCTCCCTGTAGTTAAGGGGCCCTACGAAGTAGGAAAAATGGTCACATACGTAAAAATTATTTGCGCTGCATGTAAAGAACCAGCATTCAACTACCCGTGAGACTTCTAGCTTGTCGAAGTCAAAGAAGAAGACAAAAAAGAAGCTCTACCTATGGAGTATATATACACTGTACTTTGTGGTATTTTAGATCAGGGTTTAGTTTCAACACTGAGTGATTTTTTTAGAAGAAAACTAAAAAAGAAGTAGAAATGATCCAGTCTGGTCACATATGTACATGCAGCAATAAAGAAGCACAGCCAGTCATTCTATGATTCTACTCGGGAAAAGGAAAAGGTAGTGTCAATTGCCACCAAGTGACGCGGTGACAATTGCCACCGAGTAAATTGGAGCTCTTTTGTATTTGTGAGTAGATCTAGCCTGTAGTGTATGTGATCGATATTCTGCTTTTGTGAACTTGCGACGCATGCCTCTCTCTTTGCTCCTCTGTGTGTGGGGGCGGGGGTCTCTCTCTCTCTCTCTGAACACTCTCTCCCCCTAACCCCCGTCCCCCGGATTTATGTTCCCTGATATATATTATTATATATATTAGAAGCGTATGTGTATTTCTGCTTGGGTTTGTGGCATACTCTAGAATCGCCTGTGTTGATTCTACACCGAAACACAGGCTAGCCTACGTCTCATTCAAAACACGCCAAGTTGAAATTGGTAGCTCTAGATGTTCGTCCAATGAAATTAGAAAACAAATTGACCCACTTAGACATGATCAGAGCTCGAAAATATAGCGCCAGGAAACAAGACTTTCATTTTATTGTAAATAAAATCTTTCAAATGAGCTTGGATTTATGGAAAATGATATTCTCTGATAAAAATAAGTATATATAATAGATAGTTTTGAATACCATTGTGGCATGTAAAAAGAAGAATTTGAGGGCAAAACATTCAGAATTGACCTCTATACTATTTTCCTTTCGAACCCCAGAATGTGTGTAACCACTTGTTATAATACTTATCAACTTATGAGAGGGGGTTAGATCTAACTTATCCATGTGTTCGGAACTCATTATGAACAGAAAGCTAAAAAAAAGAGCGTTGTTTTCAGACTTGACACTGCATCACTCGGTGGAAATGGACACTACCACGTCCTTAAAGTCAACTGCCACTGCTTCACTCGGTGGCAATTGACACCAGCATCAATAAAGTCAATTGCCACCGTGTCACTCTGTTGCAATAGACGCTACCAAAGGAAAAAGGGTAAGAAACTACAACAAGCTGACACTGACTGCATGATTGCCACAATATTTTCAGTGTCATTACAATGTACACGTGTAGCCTATATAAATGTCTCTATAATTACGAATTAAGTATTGAATAAATAGACCTAGATCTAGGTCTAGGTTATTCAGTAGGCCCTAGAGTCAAAGAAATGTTTATGATTAGCCACACATTGGACAACAAGCTGATCTTGTGTCTTGTGTATAAACATGTCACATTGATGATTGGTAGGCTACTCTACAGTTTCCTCATCCTTTAAAATCTTGAATTCTTTTATGCTGAGTTCACTTGTACTCTTCTGCTTAACCAACACCACGAATTTAGTCGCTACTCCGTAGCGTTCATAGTCAACCACACAGAGATGTGTTTGTTTACATTATTTTTACTTTTGCCACATCATGACGATGCCATGATTAGTTAGTCATTCATGGTGACATTCTTGTATAAATTAAAGGTAGATCTAGATTATAATCTACTTCTAATATACAAAGTAGCAGAGGTACGGACAAATAGTTCCTTCGATTTGCCATAAAAGAATAATACTTCGGACGGTGATTTATGCCTGAAAATTTAACACCTGTTAGATATTGGAACTCATCTCCGCAGCTTTGTTTACCACCAGCAACTCGGTTGGAAACGAAAGTTACCGTAATAGCAAGGGACTGTACTCTAATAAAATAATAATGAAAACAACCTCTCGTAACAGTCGTTTCCCTCCCTCTACACTTTTTTCGACCTGATAAAAATGAACGGAACAAGTTTTAAATAATTTAAGATGCTGTTGACCATTTAAAAAATTATATCTGTTCTTTTCGATAATATGAACAGTGATACAAGCCAATCATTGTTAATTTGATTGTTTCAGAAAACGTACGACGCATATACACGCCGTCAAGTCGCATTATTTACCTGTTGCCATGGCGCTGTAAACGCTGCAGGTTATGGCGTGTTGCGAACTCTATAGGCCTATTCCATGTTGAGCTAGGCCTATTCGAGAACTGTCGTCTGCCTTTCACACCGCCAGGTAGCCCACTTAACACACATGAGTTGGCTTTGCGTGTGCGCCTCAGTGACTGGTGTTCCAGATTATTCGGTCATTCGTTAACACAGACTGATGAGCCACGAAATGAACTGGCACGACTAAAGCACAGTTTCACCGTCGCCTGTGTGTTGAAGCTCACAAGTTTCGTTTCGTGGAAGGAATATAGACTGCTTTAAGCAACTCGCAAAGAGGACGTGAGCTGACGTGCGTGAGTGACAGTTTTGAAGCCTGTTGGTGCTAGGGCCAGAGGGCTGTGGCTTATTTATTCTGTTTCATAGGGTATTGATTTTCGAACGCTGCCCTGGAAAACAAGGTGCGTGATCAGGTAGATAAAAGAAGGCGTCTTTTTCCTCTCCCCATGGAAAGAAAACCAGTACGTTTCGCGGTTAAATCAATATGGCTGAGAGTTGTTTCATCTTTGCTGCTGTTTCTCAAATAGGCCTCTTGAAAATTATAGTAGGCTAATAAATAAATAGAATCTAAATAAGAATTAATAAGAGAGAGAGAGAGAGAGAGAGAGAGAGAGAGAGAGAGAGAGAGGAATAGGTCCTATCATTAGACGCTGATGTATTGATGTTAAAGAAAAAACAAAACAAAATTCATTTCCATTATTCGCTTTTATTCTACCTATTTTAAATGAGCGATTTAGTTAAATGTGAGTGCTGTAAGTTGCTGTTACTTTTGTTCTTATACTTTGTTTAAGGTTGTATTGCTGCTGCTCGTGCGTGTTGTTGCTGTTGTTGCTGCAGCTGTTAATGCTGTTGTTAATTAGACTTGTTTTATGTACGCTTTACGTTTTCTGTTTTTAATCTCTTTTTAAACAATGAGGAAAAGGGGAGGGTCGGGGTAGGGGTGAGAATTTGAAACAAAACAATTTTTTTGAAGGGGAGGGTAAGGTTGGGGAAGTATTTTTAGATGTGAAACAAACATTCCTCTCCCCCATTCAAACACACGTATGCACATGCAAACAAAAATACATACATACCCGCACAAATACACTAACACACTCGCATACACACACACACATATACACACACAAACACGAACATACACACGCACATACACACACAAACACGCTCACGCACACACACAGACCCACCCACCCACTCACACACCCACACACACCCACCCACCCCC